CTTATTGTATGGGATCTTTCCACCCCATCTGTAGCCTCTCACTACCCCTCCTCTTTTTCTGTTAGACTCCAATTCCCTGTCTTCACACAACACTACAGAAGTTTAAAACCCATTATTACTCTCCTACTTTCCAATAAGCTTCTTATCCCCTAAATAAGTTAATGATCTTTTATTGTGCCATCCCTCCTACCAACTTTCACAACTTCTTAATTTTTTGGTCTCCAAGAGATACAGGGTAAACCCTTCCAAGGCCCAACAGTCTCTCCTCACAGTCACATATCTCTATTTTCAATTCACCACCACCACCAGAAGTTTAACAGTCAACGGCACAGTCATTGAAAGCCACAAACCACTGATCAAATCCTCTCTCTTTTTTACTTTATTGGTTTCCTTAGACACTGGATTCCCAACTTTTTTTTTTTTAAGTTTTAATTTTTTAGTTCTTTTTATTGGTGTGCTTACAATCATTCACAGACATATTTTATACAGTTACCCACATACTTTGTACTTTATATAATTAATTACAATTGATCTATGTTTATTATCATCCCTTGTCTTCAGCCTTCATGGAGTCTTTTCTATTCCTTTGCACAATCCCGATCCGCCACTAACTTGTGCTATTCTAGTGATTTTCCCCTTTCCTCTTTGTTTGGCCCTCCTTCTCCCCTTCCCCTATTCCTTTTGAACATTTATATACATTCTGATCACTTATCCTCCTATTTATACAATTGTGTTCTTATACTGGATTCCCAACTTTTCCTCACTAGCAAAACCTCTTTACAATGTGGTGAAAGCCACCCACCAAGGTCCCTTATATTCACCCCAAATAGTTAGAAAGGCCTTTCTCAAGCTCCAATACCTCCTTCTACAGTTCCCACTTCTTACTTTACCAAATTCCTCTAAACCCTTCCAGCTAACACTGATGAAAACTGAAGTATTGCTGTCAGTGTTTTGGCTCAGCCCCTCAGACCCATCTTTACCTCCATTACACATCTCTCTAAGCAGCTTAATATCACGACCCAGAAGTGACAACTCTGCTTACGAGCTCCAGCAGCCACAGCTGTCCTCACTAAAGAAGCACTGAAACCTTGAGAAGCTTCCTGCAGATCTTCTCAAGCCATAAGCTTTGAGATCTGCTTTCACATTGTTTTCTATTTTAGCTTCCTCCTGGATGGATACAGGAACTCTACCTACTTTTCCTCAGAAACACTGATCGATCTCTTTCTCTTCTCTTCTCTCCTCTCCTCTCCTCTCCTCTCTTCTCTTCTCTTCTCTTCTCTTCTCTCTCTCTCCCCACCCCATCACTCCCTCCCCATTCCTTAATGCAGTCACTCTACTGGTTCTTTACTTCTCTCTCTATCTGACCAACCCATCCCAAATCCAGACCATACTCTGTTTGTAGACAGCAGCTCTTGTATGACCTCTGAAAGCTACCATTAGGCAGCCTACGCTGCAGTATCCATAATGAAGGTGTGGGAAGCAGTGAAACTTCCCAAGGTCATGACATCACAAAAAGCCGAGCTTATTGCCCTGACAAGAGTCCTATATTTAGCTAGAGGCCTGTCACCATTTACACAAGTCACTATAATTCACTGCAAAGGACATCAGTCAAATTCTTCCCTTATCACCAAGGGAAACAACACAGTAAAGCAAAACTTTGGCCTTGCAACCACCACAACAACAACAGGTTGTTCCCATCCTGTCTTTCACTATTCCAGATCTCCATCCAAAATATACTATGAAAGAAAAGCAGTTTCTCCTCCAAGATAGAGGCCATCTAACTCCCAGCGGATAGACATGGTAAATGGCAAAGCAGCTTTGCCTCAAGAACAAGAAGAAGATATTGTAACACAGGTGCTTCAGTCTCTACATATAGGAGAGGCTCTACTCCAGCATATCATCCCCGAGTTGATCTCCCTACTTCTGTACAGTCAGACAATGGTCCTAGCTTAACCTCCAAAGTCATCCAGCAAGTATCCTCTGGCTTAGGTATCTGTTGGATGCTGCACCTACCATATCGCCCCCAGTCTTCAGACAAAGTACAGCATATGAAAGGACTCATTACGTCCCATCTTACTAAACTGACTGTCAAATTATGCAAGCCTTGAGTTGATTGACTTCCTATTGCCTTAGCCTGTATCCAAGCAACACCCAACTCACCATCCTTTCTGGGCCCCTTCAAACTAATATATGGCCGACCGTTTCTACTGAACCGTAACTTACCCACCAAACCCGCTCTTTTAGCGTCATATTTTATCTCTCCATTCTCAGACAATTACTCTGGAATCATGCAGACTGCTGCATACTCAGACCCTTTCTACTTGTTTCCTCTGTGCCTCTTTACAAAGGCCTTTGCTAGCAGCAGTACCAATCAATTTCTCTAGACCACACTCCACCAAAACACCTATAGGTATTTCATCAGCCCAAACTGAGTGCTCCACCATTCCAGGACACATTCCCTTCTGAGAACCAGAGCCTGACAAGCAGAATTAGCCCTCTCACATCTGGCACCCTCTGCAATGGAACACAAGAACTGTATACACAACGTTAGCATAAACAAAAACTCTGTAGCTGAATCAGGACAACATTTTTAGTGTAATGAGACTCTATACAGAATTCTACCATACAAAAAAATAAAATAATGCCCTGTTTCTCTGTAACAGTCTTACCCCAGCCCACCTTGTATAATAACTTGGCTTCTCCCTGCTCTCCAAATTAAGAGAGGAGCATTTCTCCCAATCATGGTTGGATTCAGTCTAGCCTCTTTCCAACGTCAGCTGACACTGCTGGCACAGGTCACTCTCCAAAGTTAAAAAACTCTAGATCTCCTGACTTCCAAGAAAAGGAGCACCTGCTTATTCCTAAGTGTGTTGTTACTATATAAATGAATCAAGACTAGTAAAACCACAATCTTTCTCCCAAACTGGCTCAAAACCCCATTTCTAGCCTAAATTCCTCCTTTTCTAAGGCCAATAGTAGTCAATCATAAGCATATTGTTATTATTCGCTCCATGTCTCTTTAAGTTCCTACTTCAAGGAGATAACCAAGTTAATTCTCCCCTGGCCACTGATCCTGGAACAATGCACTCCAGCGTCTACCCCTGTTCAGCAGGAAGTAGCTAAAATAAAGATACTTTGCTCTTTTTATCACTAAAGAGGCTGGGATGTCAGGTCCAGACAGGGGGCTTGAAGGGGGAAATGAAGAATTCAAAAAATATACATGTTGACAAGAAGAGTGAATGGTCCCGCCCACCTAGCTGAACTAATGGATGAACCATAAGTAACAATGGAATATCCCTCCCTAAAAACTCTGTTATAAAAACTCTCCTCAATAAATTCACAGCGTGACTTCCCCATTCTGGAACCTCACCTTGGAGCTCCCCTATCCCTCTCCCCTTTAATAAAGCTGCATTAAGCTCTCTCATTCTCTCTGATACCTTCCTTAAGTCCACTAACCTGACAATATCCAGGTTTCCACCAGATTATAGCTACAGTGATGGCACAGGCTGAATCTAACCCAATGTTTTCTTGTGCTTACTTCCTGTTTGTTTTCATCTAATCTACCATCCACATTTTAAAATAGGGAGAAATACACAGAACAACCTAGACTTCTGGCTTAGTCTAGCAAATCAGAAGATTTGGCAAAATTATTCTCAAATTACTTATGGGAGGTATTGCTGGTGCTGAGGTGCAGCTGTCCCTGTAGACAGAGCAAAATGCTCTCCAGTCAGCCTCATGCACATGTTCCTGCTGGCTGTTTTGCTGGGCCCTTGAGGTTGTTCATTTCCTGTCCCTGATCTAACACAAGAAGGAGTGCTTGAAGCATAGTACATAACTTAATGAGCTCTTAATGAAAAGATTAGAAGTTTGAGTTTACCAGGCATCTGGAAAAGACAGGCAGTCTCCTCTTACAAAGATTTATAGGCTGAGGGTCCCAGTAGAAGGCTGCTATGAGTTGAAATTGATTTGATAGGACAAGGAGGGTTCTGGGTTTTTATTTTAATCTAACACAAAACCTTGACTGCTACCTAGCTTCAAGAATAAGCCTTTTGGCCCACTGTGCTACTTCACTCTCTGTTTTTTCCTGGTGATATGAAGTTTATGGAGAGGAGGGCAAGCCATGATAGTAAGCACAGAATAGAGAAAACTCCAAAGCCAAAGCAAAAACCCTGTAATCAAGGGGATGATTTAACTCTCTGGAAGGTGTCTTTAACATGGTTACTAAACTACAAATATATACTTGTTGGGAAATCTGGTAGCCTAGTGGCTATAATACTGAAGGCACATGGTTTGAGGCCACCAGCTTCTCTGCAGGAGAATGGTGGGCAGTCTCCTCCCATGCAATGAACTGTGTCTGAAAACCCATGAGAGGATCAGCTATGGGTCAGTTCCAACTCTACAGTATGCAACAACAACAGCAATATATATTTATCTCATTCTGTGAAGGAATAGTCAATTCAAAATGATATACCATTGCCTGACTCTTTAATAACACAATATGGAGAAATGAGTGAATTAAAATTTCAATTAGAAATATTTTCAGCATTCAAGTTTAGTCCATACATGGCCTTCCACTATGCCCTTTCAAGTTTAAAGTCCTTTTATTTAAAAAAACAAAACAAAACTCCTCTTCTTATATTTGTGTTTGAGCACTTGGAGAAGCTCTAGTCTGACCACTATGAGTCCCAATGGGAATCAGTGGATGAAGTGTATAAAATAATAAAATACCAATAGCAAATCTACTTGTTACATTAGAGAATATAAGAACTAAACAGAAGTCTATAATAATTTTCTAATTCATATTTTCAAATTACATATAGAGTTATAATTGTATATAAATATATCACATATAGATTATAGATATATTGTAGGTTTCAAATTATATAGACTATAGATACACATATAGGAATTTATATATAAATATATATATACACATATACAGATATGTATTTCCAAACTATTATTAATCCTAGTAATATTTTATAACAGAATAGTCTTACCTCAGCAAGAAAAATAGCTAAACACCAAATTAGCACAATAATTAAGCTCTTGTGGACAGTAATATATCGAAGGTATGTGTTCCATGTGGTCACTGCTGGTATGTTATCCATGTCATCAAAAAAGCACTCCTGAAAAAAAAGCACAACAACTCCAGTATGGCAATGTTTAATATCACTCTCATGGTTTTATTTTGAAGGTGCATAAGTCAAAGAGTATACTATTTGAAGCTAAGTGAATTATAATATGCATAAATTATGAAACAAATGTGTAATGTCACATGATAGCCAGTCTACTTGGAAGGCTCTTCAGAAAATTAAAAATTTTGTAATTATTCAAAATTCTGACATCATAGCAATGATTGTATAACTGTAGAATAATAATTGTATTATTGTAGAATATTTTTCATAATCAAATAGTTTGTGATGCAGCTTTTATTAATTCAATGGTTTTATTAATTAAAATCTCCTCAAATCTTCTTGCTTTGACTTTTTCAGCAGTATATGAACATGTACAGTGTGCTGTTTTCTTATTTATAAAGCTCTTTCTATGTATGAAGGGAGTTCCAGTGGCTTAGTGGTAAGGAATTGTGTTGCCATGTCAAAGGCAGGTTGTTCAAGTCCACCAGCTTCTCTAAAGGACAAAGCTGGGCTATCTGCTCCTGTGTGATTTATAGCATCCGAAAGCCTACATCAAAGTCAGCTCTGAGTCAGTTCTGACTCAATGACACATAACAACAATAGGTATGGAAGAGCTCTGGTTTTCTGGTCCATAGAGGAGTTATACAGCTAACCTAAAGGTGGTACCTCTCTAGTGGTTCGAATCCACCAGCATCTGCTGAGGAGAAAGAGGAGTAATTTCCTGGGCAGTTTACAACCTCTGAAAACCCACCTGCAAGTGAGCTATAAGTCAGCTCTGACTCAACTGTTAGGAGCTTTTGAGAGAGAGAGAGAGATATGGAAACTAACTTTTGTTTGTAGAATTCTCAGTAATCTAAAGTTATCTCTCTAAATTAGGATGTCAGTTACATAATTTTATCCTTGGGTGTACTAGTCCAAAATTTTAAAAAGAGGTTTCAGATAGCTCAAAGGAAAACTATAGTTTTGTTTCTCAGGGAATTAAAAAAGCTCAAAGAGAGAATCCTATGAAATAGGATATAACACATTGGTTTAAAAGTGGAAAAAAATAATTGTCACTATGTCAACTTCAACTCAGTGACCCCATGTATTAGAGGAGAACTGTCCACCCCAAGATTCTCATTCAATGGCTACTTTTTCAGAAGTGGATGGTCAGCCCTTTCTTCAGAGGTACCTCCGAGTAGACTCAACCCTCTAACTTTTCCATCATCAAAGTGCATTAACTGCCAGGGAATATAGATTTTGGGGATCAGATCAACTTGGGCTGGAATGCAGGTTTCACCAGTAACTTACTGAAAGCTGTCTGAATTCTGGCAAATTGTTGAAAGTCTTTGAACTTTAGTTTCCTCATCTATAAATGAGTATTATAAGGATCTCTAGAATGATGACGGGGCTAGTATATGCTATCTGCCACAAGAAGCAATCAATAAATATTAACTACTATTAATAATTAAAGGGCTCTGGTGACTTAGTGCTAAGAAGCTGAGCTGCCATCCCAAAGGCACACAGTTGAAATCCAGCAGCTGCTCTTCAGGAGAAGGAAGCAGGAAGCACGATCTCCTCCTGTGCAATTTACTGCCTTTGAAAACTCCCTGTAGCGTCAGCTATGAGTTGGTTCTGCCTTGATGACATAACAACAACATTAACAACTACTCTTTATGAACTTTTATAAGGCTTTCAATATGATAAATGACACAGTGACAGCAGCCACAGGTCTGAACACGGCAGAGATCATGGGATGTCACAGGACAGGGCAATGATTTCTGTTACATGATCTGTGTTACATGATTTCTGGAGTGCCATAGGTCACATTATTCTTAAACTATATCTCCTATCAAATATATCTGTTCATAGCAACCCTGCCCAATGGTCAGCTTATCTAAGAGTCTTAAGGAATTTCTCTACATTAAAAATGTCTTTTCATAAGACCACTTTCATGTTGTTCCTTATTGCAAATTTAATATTTATTCTTTAATACATTAAAATGGATTTTGTCTATAGACTGTAACATACAGATTCTTCACTTATCTCATTATCTAATATTTCACATTTCACTAATAGTAAAAGTCTACTTTCTAATTATTTTTTATATTAACAAAGTACATCTGGCACTTAAATTACTGAGATATGAGGTGGTTGTTAAATTACTGAGATATGAGGTGTGCTGTTGAGTCAGAATCGACTCATCACTGCCCCTCCAGCAGGTTTTCAGAGGTTATTAATAGCAGAGGAGGAGACTGCCCATCTTAATCCCACAGAAGAGCTGGTGGACTTAAAACCATGTTTCTTTAGGATTCCAAGGCAGCTTCTTACCTGTGCAATTTACTAGGCCACCAGAACACCAAACTCAGATTTGTTGTTGTTGTTGTTGTGTGCCCTTGAGTTGGAGCTGACCCTCTATTAAGTTGTCAGATGCAGTAAATCGCAGGGGAGGAAAATGCTCACCCTTCTCCTTTGGAGCAAATAATGGATTCAAACTGTGTGACTTCAGGATTGCAGCACAGCTTCTCACCACTAGGCCACCAATGCCCCTTGAAGTGGAAGTATGAGGTGGGCAAAGCAGTGGCTGTGATGATTAAAGTTATGGGTCAATTTGGCTGAACCACATTTCTCAGTGGTATGGTAGTTTGTAATTATCAAATGTGGCAGTTGTACAATAATATAGTTATGTAACGACGTGATTTAGCAGTTGTGTAATGTATGTAGTTATCTTCCACACTATGATAGTCTGACGTGGTCCTCCTACATTTTCACAAAATGCCAATTTTCACATTGCTATCCAGTCTTGAATGAGTATCATACATGTTGAGTTTTCACATACTTCCTTGTAAAATGTCTTCTTTAGAAACTCAATATATGAAGCAGAATTAAAAGATATATTCAGGCCAACTGATATATAGATAAATCAGAATATACATTAGCCTTTTGAGACGAAAATCTTATATCCCCTATACAAACAAACTACTTCCACAAAGAAATAGTTCTTGGTCCATAAATAACTGAAGTTACTTGATGCTGTTTATGTTTGTTTACATTCCACCTCTTCTTAGAGAAGGTTTAAAGTGGAGTTTCTGATTTCATGATAATCCTTACTGGCCTATTGAAAGGGAGCTCTGGTCATTTAGCTGTAAGGAACTGCATTGCCAATACAAAGCCATGTATTTTAAATCCACCAGCTACTCCACACAAGAGAAAGATGGGCAATCTCCTCCAGTGCAATTTACTGCCTCTGAAAAAGAGGGTCAGCTATGTATGGATCAGTTCCAACTCAATGGTACACAATAACAATTAAAAGAACTATTAAAAGATCAAATACTAAACTATACTCTTACTTGGATACCAATACTTTTGTGGGAATAGACAAATCCACCACAACCGAAAAGAATAGATTCATTTACATTTTGAAGTTTCTAACACAATTTACTGTGGACTCTCCATGCATGAAAATAAGTCTCATTCTAATTTCAGACTGAGTCAATTAATACATATTGCAGTACATGTAATTGAACTACTTAAAATCACTATTTTTTTTTATGGTGTTATCTGTTGTAGAGTCATAGCAATTCTATAGACAAAAGGGATGTACTAAATGACCCATAGGGTTTTTACTGGCTAATTTTTCAGAGATGTATCAGTAGGCCTTGTTTCTTAGTGTGTCTTAGTCTAGAAATTCCATTAAAAACTTGCTTAGAATCACAGCATACGCAAGCCTCCCTTAACGGTGAGTGGTGGCTGTGTATTAGAAGCACTGGCTTGGAAAGTGAACCCAAGTCTCCCACATAGAAGGTGAGAATTCTACCACTGAAGTTTCCATGTCCCATACTTCATACAAATCTTTAATATTTTATACATACCTTTAGATATTCTTCATTAATTTCTTCATTTAATTCCAAGCCACTGTCTTGAGATAACCTTCTTGAATATATATCCATTTCTGTAAAATTAGTCTGAGGGGCCAGGGACATTTTTCGTGTGGATGCTGCTGTCTTTTGGTGAATGCTTGGACCTTGGTTGACTGAAGTCCTAGTTATTAGGTGCAAAACCGACTGCCTCCTCCGTCTCTGGAAGGTGGGGCCCGTGTTGATCACATTACTTCGAGGTAGGATAGCCTCTCCCTGCTCTGAATCAGGAACCAAGGACAGCCTTCTCTCAGAGGACTCATCGGAATCTTCCTCAATGCCATTCATTTGCAGTGGTGTCTTCTGCACTATTGAAAACTTTCTCATGGAGTTGATTGAGTTGAGAATGGAGTTCTTCCTCTTTTCAGCCAACTCTCCGGTCTGTTTAAAGGATTGTTTTTTTGTTTCATTCCAGGAGACTGCAGTATCTCCTTCTAACGAGAAGCGCCGTAAGGTCTCTGTTAGGATTGAGTTTCTTCTTTCTGCACTAAACTGGTCAAAGGAGTCATAGCCCATGAGCTTTGAGCTAAAGTCTGGCCGGAGATTCTGTAGTTCAGAAAACGTCCCATAAAAATAGCTGCTGCCTTCATGTAAGATTAATATTTTGTCAGCTTTCTTTAGATGTTCCATTTTAGAAGTAACCAAAATCCTCGTTTTGTTTGCCATCAATTTACAGACACAGCTTTAAGAATAGAAAAAGAAGAGAGAGGAAAAAAATCGTCTGTTGTATGAGCTCTTGATTACAATAGTATAATATATGTTGGGTCTTTTAGCCTTTTTCTACTATTTCATGATATAAAAGTGTTCCAATTTTATTACTATATTTAAAATTATTCTAAAAATAAATAAATTTATTTGGTGTCTCTTGTGACAGGGATCTCTGATGGAATCATCACGGGAAGCATGCTGCTAGACCCAAAACTACACTGCTCTAACAGTTTGGATCCACTAGCACCTTCAAGAAAGAAGATAATGGACAATTTCCTCCTGTACAATTGAAGCCTCTGAAATCCAGTAGAGGGTCAGCTACGAGTCAGTTCTCACTCAACAACTATGAGTGGCTTTTAAGTTAACTTATTGTAGCATTAAGCTGTATGCAATATTGTACAATTCAGTGTCAAAACATCTAGAAATAAATTCATACACTAAATACAATGAATATTAGTGGTACAAATGGTTAAGCACTCAGCCACTAACTGATAAAGAAATGTTTCGGGTGCGGGTGGGGGTGGGGGTGTGTGGAGGGAGGATTGTATACCAATGAAGGAGTTTTTCTTTTGCTTTTCAAAAAGAGGAGCTAACTAGGGGTGGGGGTGGGATGGGTGGGGAGAAAAGTGCAACAATGAATGAATGGAAGTCCAAAATCTCTGTAGATGTTCATTGAAATTGATTTTAAAAAATTAATTAAAAAAAAGAAAAGAAAAGTTTCAAACTCCCAGACACTTAACAGCTGCAATAATGGGTATTACTTCTCAAGAGGTAATAAGCAATCTATAGTAGAGATCATTCATTCATTCATTCTCTTCAGCATGAACATTAGAAGTAAGTTACTAAAAAAACATACCTTTCAAAAATTTCTTTTTCAGTTAATACATCTAGATATCCAAAAGGAGAGTCTAACAGATACAAATCAGCATCTTTATATACTGCTCTGAAAAATAAAATGGACATGGAGTTAGATTTCTTTCATATTTCTCTTGTCATTCAGTGCGACTGTTGTTGTCAGGTATTATCCAATCAATTCTGACTCATAGCAACCAAAAGTGATGGAGGTGAAGCGCCCCCTGGGTTTGCTCAGCTATAACTTGCAAGCCTTTATTCTGCACAACCTGTGGGTGTGTTTAAATCACTAACTTTATGCTTAGCCCCCAGCCTTTAACTATTGTCCTACCAATAACTTTAAATGGAAAAAAAAGGTAGACCTCATGGGTGATTTTTTTTTATAGCTTTTCACAGCATTTTAAGAACTACAGAAGTGATTTTGCTAATTGGAAGTAACATGCAAAAGTTATAAACTGAATCTGACTATGTAATTTAAAATATTAACTTAATCCCCCCACCAAAAAAAAAAAAAAGAATGGATTTCACCATCAACAGTACCTATCTAGAATACAATATCACAATATATGCTGGTGATATTGTGCCAAACAACACACAGGCCCTGTCTTCAAAGATCTTATGTGTTAGAGAAAGAAAGTAAAAAATCATTTCTATCCTATAAAATACCGAGAAAGTTATTAAATTATAGCATTTATCTAAAGCGTTTTTATTATTTTTCTAATTGTTGGTAACTAACAACAAATAAGATCCTGTTTTATAAAGTAATCTTAAATAAGAAATTTATATCATGTTTAGAATGATACCGTATTTTATTGTTTATAGTCCTTGCATTGTCAGGAATCTAGATTTTTCTACTAATTACATTAGCCCCTATTGGAGGCATGATCTCCAGCTACCTGAACTGCAGACATGTGGTCTTACAAATCATCAACAGGTGTGGGACCAATATAAGAGAGTATTTTCCACACAGTGAGATATAGCATAATGGTTGTGGAGAGAGGGTGAAGATACTGTGGCACTGCTTTGAAGAAACTGTAGTGAGATGTAACCGGAGAAATCTTAGCAGTAGAGCCACAGTCAAAAGTTTTGTTTGCTGGATGATTGCAGGAAAAGGTGACTTTAACTGCTCTGAGATAAAGCTTTCCAGACTAACTGAGGATATCAGAGGTTTATTTGTGCTTTTCTAAAAAGGAGAAAACAGGACAAAAGGGCACAAGGCCATGACCATCTCTCTGAAAGGACCAGAGGGAGTATGAATATCACAGCCCCTCACTGCCCCAGAGCAGAAAGCAGGTAGAGTCTAGCGCCACCCCCCTCCTCTAGAGCACCCCAACAGCAAGAGGTTCATCTACTCATTGTTGACTCACAGACTCACCGTTGTGAATCTGCAGTCAAATCCAAATCATCCATTAAGGTTTGCCTCAGAGCAGTTATAAGTCAGCTTCTCCTTCAAACATCCAGTAAAAATAGTCACATCTTTAACTGTGACCAGCACAAATGCAAGAAGACTCCGATCATACCTTGACACCATTTGTCCACAGCAATGCCACAGTCTCTCCACAACCAGGGTCTCACTCTCACAAGGGTCTTGCCACCACAAGGCTTGATTGGCTCAAATATTGCTGCCTAGTATGGGAAGCACTCTTTCTATTATTCTGGTTCACGCAGTTGTTGCTGATTTGCAAGACCATGTTGATTTGCAAGATCATGTGTCTGCAGTTAAGGTAGCTGGAGATCAGAGGCTAGTAGCAAGAATGACTTAAAAAAAAAAAAAGCCAACTTCTAGCATAACACCACAGTGCTGCTAAACTAAACTAGAACTTTCACTAATTTAGGAATTGAATGTTGATGTTAATCTGGCTTGGGGCTTCTGGACTAAACCTGGATTTGCATTGTATGCTTTTCTTTGCCTCCCCTACTCTCCAACTCATTTTCCTAATAAACCCCATAGTAGTGAGTAAAGTCTGTGAGTCAAGTCAAGTTGCAATGAATATTGGACCCAGTGATTGGTGTAAATGGGTGCAGGAGCCTGTGGAGTGGCAAGTCTGACCACGTAGTTATTTACGAATGTTATAAAGGGGAAAGTTCTCAACAACATAAATGTTTTGATGGGAAAAATTCTCCTTTATGAATTGGATAGAAGTTAGACTTGGCCACCTCCATGCTGTAACTGTTCTTAATGTCCCATACTCGTAAAACTTTCAAACAAATAAGGGATGAATAATTTTACAACAGAAATGATAGCTTTACGCTTCAGAAATCCAATGTAGGGTTTAATGAGTCAGCATCAACTTGATGGTAGTAGGCTGAGTTATTCATTTGGAAACAATTATTTGGTCTGTGAGTTATCACTACCTATTGATTTATAACTTTATAGTGCAATTTCTAAATCTATGCACATTAATATAAAGTATATAGAGAACCTGGTTCCATTTCAAACTCTATCATTTCTCTATGTAGCTCTTGACAAGTTATTGTCTAATAGTTTCAATTATCTCATTATCTCTTCTGTAAAGTGAGGAGAACAAATCTTTTAAATAATTTCTCACATACACATACCCTTCTAGAACAAGACCAGACAACTGAAATATTTCTAATATTTATAATTCCTGTTAGTTCTTTCCCTCAACTGACTCAAGAAGTAAGAGAAAGGGGCCAAAACATCATTGAATCAATGCGATTTTTGTTTAATATTTGGCAAGACACCAAGACTTTTGTTAAAAGAAAACTTGAGGAACATTTGACATCCCATATGGCCAGTAATTCTTTAAACTGAAAGTTACAGTTTAACTACAAAGTTTTCTTTTTGAGACAAATTAACTATATGTACTTCTCTTTGACAGCTCCAAAATGCCTAAACCAAAGGCCCTCCTATGTGCACAATGTCAAATGTGCTTGTCCTATTTATTTTACCATAAAGATTGTTCCGTTTAAACCCAGTGGCATAATATACTTTGTGATTTGAGTATGGAACTTACAAATATAAAAAATTTGAAAGTATATGTTTACCTAAATATAGAAACAGAAGCAGAAACCTAAAGCAAGTATGTTTGTTGGGGTAGCTGGAATATATGATAAAAATAAGAGAGATAAACATTCTTCTCTCCTTTGAGAAAATCATATTCTAAGCCAAGCAAGTATACCTCAAAATAAAGGCAGTATTTTGAAAAAGGTTTCTTAATTATTAGATTGGCATATGGTGTCTTTGTTTAGGGTTAGTTCTTGTTAATCACATACAAGAAACAGAATATAAGGCAATCAAGAAATAAATGCCTGTACTATTTTACATTCACGTAATTTACAGCCAATGTCACAAGGCTCAGAATCAGACACTCACCTTGCCAACGAGATCCTGGCCCGTTGTCCTCCACTCAGCGTGATTCCACCCTCTCCAAGAACTATATTATCTTTCTCTGCAAACTTAGAAATGTCCTGTTATTGAAAATACAAAATCAGAGAAATATTTTGAGTATGTTGAATCTGAATCAGAAAAGTCCAACTCTCTTTCAATATGACCATGCATGAGACTGCTGTATTAATCACCTGTGAGAATTTGTAAATGGCAATTAATTTATTTCATATACAAATCAACAATTTGCTAGATTAACATTACTAAAATTTCAGGTGTAAATAGTAATGATATTTAGAATGACATTTAAGACCATTAAGTAAAAAGTGGAAAATATTTTAAAAATCAATATATATGTGCATTCTTGTGAATTTAAATACCTGTGTGGATTATCTGCAGATGCATCACAAATCAGACTATAAATTCTGTTAACATAATAAAGGGCATACCCTGTCAACCTAAGTTCATTTATTTGAAAGGAAACCTCTAGAAAGGAATCAATTCCTTCTAAGAGAAATAGGGATACGTGGACTGCCAAAAGAACAAATAGATACCTTTTGGAGAAAGTGCAGCCAGAGTACTCCTTGGAGGAAAAGATGGCAAAGCTTTGTCTCTTACTTTGGACATATAGTTAGGTGATGCTATTCCTTGGAAAGGGCCATCATGCATGGACAGAGGAAAAGTCAGTGAAGGTCAGGAAGACCTCCAATGAGATGGACTTACACAGGAACTGCTGCAATAGGCTCAGCTGTGTCAGAGACAATGACACAGACAATGACACAGGACAGGGGAGTGTTCAGGTCTGTCATAAGAGGCTACTGCCAATAAATAGGAGAGAAGAGATGGAAAATAGAGAAACAACTAGGACAAAGGAATGAGGAGTAAACTCAAACTTTGTACAATCAGAATTATTGGTATAACATCAAATTCCTTTGAAAAAGAAAAGAAAGAGCATTCTGGTTGGCCCAACATTCTTCAAATTCTAACTTGGTTGTTGAGGGCAAGAATGAATATCATCAGGAGATGAGGAATTTGAAGAAAGAATTGCTAAATAATTTCTTGCTACCTTGTCTACTATTTTGTTCATGGCAAATAAAGTCAAGTTACGTATTCCTTTCCTTTTTATATAATAGTCCTAGTGGTTCAGGGTTTAAGCACGTGGCTGATCATTGAAAGGTAGGCAGTTTGAACTCATCAGTTGCTGCACAAGAAAAAGATGCATCAGTCTGTGTCTGCAAAGATTGCAGCCTCTGTTGGGCAGGTCTATTCTGAAGTACTGGGGTCACTCTGAAAATCTCAGAATCGACTTGCTCTCCACAGGTTTGGATGGTTTTGGGGTTATTTTTCATCTCCTACAAGAGTGTAATGAATTAATATGCTTGATTTCCAACCAAAAAGCTGGTGGTTTAAGTCCACTTACAAGCATTTTGAAATAAGGGAAAAACTAAACCATCGAATGGTGCCCACTTCTATTCTGGCATATGTGAGTTCTCATGAGTCAGAGTCAACTCCACGACCAATGGTTTTAAGTTTATAATGCTGTAGTATGTATGTTAATGTCTGGTGTTTCCTGCATTTCAGTCAGGGCAAGCAGGTTCACTACTGAGTGATGCTGGTCTGCCGGGAGACACCCATTGAGTGACAGGCTCCTGCGAGAATCTTCTTCCTCAATGGGACTACTCACTGTGACACCTTCCTCTACACCTGGGAGAGGTGCCAGGTTGGGTGTGTCCTGGAAAAGTTCCAGGAAGACGTGCATCTGACTGTCCTTGGTCCCACGTCACTAAGTGAGCTGAGACTGGAATGACGTCGGTGGTGCCCACTGAGCGAGCTGCTGGATGTCAAATGAGAGGTGCAGGCAGGTAGTGGTTGCTCAGGAAGTAATGCAGCCGGGACACTGAGTTGGCTAACAGGAAGCTCGGAAGTTGAATCCTAGACCGTCAGGCTTACTGGGAAATCTTTTACCACTGTGTGACTCAACTGTTCTTACTGTAATGAGGTAGAATAATAGTTCTTGTTTCAAAAGAGGTATTAACCATAAGAATTAAGAAAATGGCATTTATAAAGATAATTCAATAAGTAGAAAGCAATGAAATAAAAGAAAATGTAACAATCCAAGCATAATACTATTTTTCTAAAATAAAACAGAACACGTAGGAGGAAACATCAGCCTACAAGGAAAAAAATTCATCAGTTACTAGCCCTGTTTCCTCTACTAGCCGAGTAATAGACTGAAATAGACTCCTATCACCTTCTTTTTATGAAAGAATGAGGGAGAGGCTATCAGTCGGGAGGTTGGGGGGGTGGCAATCTGCTCTTCATATTTCTTTTACTGAGAAACTGTGTCTAGCCTTTAACAGGCCAATCACTGTGTAAGTTTTTCTTTAAAAATTTCACTGAGGCTCTCTGCTTCTCTTCAGCTGACAGGCCTCTCCTCTGGGTAGCCTCAGTTACATCCTTGATAGATGATGGTGAAGGAGTAAACACATTCGGTTGCACTGAACACCTGGTCACCGGGGCTGCTTTTAACTCTGGCAACGTGGATGTTGTTGACATCAGTGACCCCTTTAGTGACCTCAGCTACATGATCTAGTATGATTTCACCCATCGCAAGTTCCAACTAATGGCACTGTCAAGGCTGAGCATGGGAAGCTGGTTATCAATGGGAAAGCAGTCGCTATCTTTTAGGAGTGAGATCCTGCCAACATCAAGTGGGGTATTGCTGGTCCTGAGTATGCTGTGGAGTTGACTGGTGTCTTCACGACCTTAGAGAAGGCTGGGCTCACTTGAAAGGTGGCGCCAAATGGGTAATCATCTCTGCTTCTTCTGCTAATCTCCCCATGTTTGTGATGGACATGAACCATGAGAAGTATGACAACTCTCTCAAGATTGTCAGGAATGCCTCCTGCACCACCAACTGCTTGCCCCTCCTGGCCAAGGTCACCCATGACAACTTCTGCATTGTAGAGGGATTCATTACCACAGTCCATGCCATCATTGCCACCCAGAGGCTGTGGATGGCCCATCTGGAAAGTTAGGATGTGATGACCATGGAGCTGCCCAGAACACCATCCCTGCATCTACTGGCACTATCAAGGCCATGGGTTAGATCATCCCTGAGCTGAATGGGAAACTTAATGGCATGATTATTCTTGTCCACACCTCCAATGAGCCAGTTGTGGATGTGACCTGCCATCTGAAGAAATCTGCCAAATATGATGACATCAGGAAAGTAATAAAGCAGGCATCCAAAGAGCTGCTAAAGGGAACTGTGAACACCAGGTTGTCTCCTGTGACTTTAACAATGACACCCACTCTTCCACCTTTGATGCTGGGGCTGCATTGCCCTGAACGATCACTTTGTCAAACACATTTACTAGTATGACAATGAATTTGGCTACAGAAACCAGGTGGTCAACCTGATAGTTCACATAGCCTCCAAAGAATAAGGACGCCCTTGACCATCAGCTCCAGCAACAGCACTAAGAGCGAAAGCTCCTCAGCTACTAGGGAGTCTTTGATCCGACTCGATCCTCCCACTCAATGAGAATCTCACATCCTTAGCAGAGTTTCCATCGAGTCCCCTTGAGAAAGGAGGGCCTTAGAGAGCCTATCTTGTCATATACCATGAATTAAATACTCTGTACCCAGCAAAAAACAAAAACAAAACAAACTAGAGTTTCTAACTTTTTATCATTTTGAATGATGCTTTCTTTGAGATGTTGGTTCATTTACAATTATTACATTTATGAAGATGCCCTTCTGTTTCTGTTTTCACTTTTAATTTTTATTAGAAATGAATACTGAATTTTACATTTTACCAGAGATTTCTGGCAATGCAGTCTGTAGAGAGTTATGATGCTAATCCAAAGACCTCTCTGGAGGTTTGAATCCACTGGAGGGTTTGAAGGAAGAAAGATGGGCAATCTCCTCCCATGCAACATAGAGCCTCCAAAAACTCACTGGAGAGACAGCTATGATGTGATTCTTAATGGCAGTTAATTGAGTGAGTGAATGCTGATCTCTTATTACACACATGTACACAAGGAGTCCTAGTGGCGCAGTGGTTAAGTGCTCAGCAGTTAACTAAAGTCTTCAGTTTGAACTCACCAGCTACTTTGCAAGAGAAAAAAACTATATGGCAATCTCTTCTCATAAAGAGTCAGCCTAGGAAACCCTATGAGGCAGTACATCCATAGAGTCACTATGGTTGGAATAGACTTGATGGCACACAACAGCAATAACAACATATATGGGGATATACATGCATGTATGCATATCCATGTGCATCTGCATATAATCATGTATGTGTCTGTGTGTATACATGTGCGTGTGTGTGTGTGTGTGTGTGTGTGTGTGTGTGTTTATGTGTATTTACAGATCATGGTCCCCATCATTCACTACTGGGGCACTCTAGTGACCAAGTGGTAAGAGGCTGCATTGCAATCCCAAAGGTACTCAATTCTAGTCTACCAGCTGTTCTGTTAACTGCCTCTGAAAACCCTTTGGAAGTTCAGTTATGGATTGGTTCCAATTCAATGCTACACCACCACTATCACCACAACATTCACTACTATGATGCTAAGATAGAAAAATTCTGCATAAGGATAATGAAAAGAGTCTTTTCTTTCCAACTAGTATACTTATCAAAAAGAGTGAAAGTGAAATACATGGAAGGTAGATAATTCTTAAGAATTTGGTTGTTTCACTTCCCTAAAAATTGTGCTCTTCAAAAATTTAACATAACAAAATGACAATATTATTGCATTTTGTGACTATAAAAATACAAGAAAACCAAATTTTTTCTCAGCTGATAGAGGAGAGCACGGTTGTAAGCAGGCTGGAAAATGGTGATCCATGTAACTTTACACACTCAAGTCATTCATTCTCTCAACTTGATCGCATCACATCACATCCTTTCTTACACACACACATACACACACACACACACACACACACACTTGAATCCTAAAAAGAAAGAAATAAAATAATAAGTGGTAGGGAAGGTAAAGAAAAACTGGAACTTTATCCATTGCTCATGGGAATCTGAAATGCTACAGCCTCTGTAGCAAGCACTTTGGCA